TTATAGAAGAATCGGTAATAGTGACGGTACAAGTTGATTTTCCTAGTTGTTGCATGTCCAAGGCAAGCCTTCCTCCAGTTCCGCACGCTTAGATTGTGAGCTGCTGCAACGAGTGTATGAAGATGTTGGCACGAGAATGAGAAGAGGGGGATCTTTTGCTTCGTCGATATGCTTAAGTGAAGAAGCAGAAGTGTTGTGCTCAGCAGGACGCGTAAATTACAATGTATCGAACAATAGCAATCGTCGGCTCTTAAGTAGGGCTTATGTATCAAACCTTCTGTGTCTTTATTTGGAATTAAGTGGATGTACCCGTCTATACTCGCGCCTCATGTTTCGTTAGCAAAATGCTTCCTCTGCATAATGAGTACATTCCGAGCTCACATATTTTAGCTTGAACTTACCTTCAAATGCGTGGTTGATGGAGTGCATTCGGCGACGTTCGCGCATGTTTGCAGCCTGCCTCTGATTCGAATGGCGATTTTGTATTGGCCTTGCACTGGTGAGGGTATTTGCCTGACTAACCGCCAGGACATCCTGTTCACGAAAGCGCCATTCGTCTTCCTTCCGGTGGAAAGGCTCCCCTTGCTGGCTAACACAATACGCATTACTTTGAATCCACGTTCCACTATAATTACTCCAGGATTGTGAATGCACGAACGAAGAGTTAGGGTAAGGACTTTCCGACCAGTTGGTGGAGGGGCATTGTTGTTGAACGGTCCCCTCACCGTAGTGCGCCTGAGGCCAATTTGGTGTGAGAAATAAACCGCAAAGCCTTGAGTCTCGACGTGAAGATTTACCTTCGTTTGCACCTTCTTGGAACGCATAAGTATCCATTCGTACTGATTTTAATTTTTGGGTAGACTGTGAGAATTTTACATTTGCCTATTTAGAGAAATATGAGTTGAAAAATGTTGCTAAGCCCTCAGATCGGCGTATACGCCTCCCTAACTGGCAGGTCTTTAGAGCAGTTTTGATCTTTTCACCAACTTATATCTCACATGCTGATAGCTGTCAGTCCTAATATTAGAAAGTTTGCTCTTCTTTAAAAAAAGCATTAAACTCAGTCACGTATTCCCAACCTTTTGCTTAGGATGGATGGTACAAGGCAAGCCTAAAAGCACTTGGTTTGCTCCTTGATAGCCGAGGCAAATGTAGTGCGGTGGTGGATATGGCTTAGTCAATGGTTTGCTTTTCGAAAACACCAATAACTCTCAAAACGGATTTTACCGCTGCTTTTACCCATTTGTCTCTTACGTTTACTATCAAAATAGATTTTACAATAGCATGTTTCTAAACACTGCGCTAGAATAGGAATAGTCGTCATCTAGAGTAGATGGGAAATTTGAGGATGAATTTACGCTCAATTGGGATGCACATCTATGACCTGAAACTACAGTTCGTCGTATAGCCGTTTGTTCTGAAAGATTTCTCTGCAGAACGGTTGATTTATGAATGGTGCACATCCGCAGAACCTCAGATCTTCACCTTTCTGATTACCATTAGTGGGGTCGCTATTTACTAATTTTCAAAGTTGAAAGCTGAGTAGTCTCTCTAATGCTAAAAAACAACTAAAGTTATTAGGCCTTACTGAGCGATTTGGGAGCTGATCTAATGATGCACAAATCGCTTTTTCTGCTTTCAGCATTGTGATTTTAAGCAAAGCTAAGGACGCAGTCCTAGCTTTTCACCTCATAATGCCTGAACCAATGAGTAACTTCGTTTTGCCCCATATCATGTGAAATGTTTACTTGTAAAGATTAGAATATTATGGTTGCATTTAAAGTAATTGCCTTGTTTAACTCCATTCCACAGCCTTTAGTGTCAGCCCGTAAATACATTCGCTTATGAAATCTCGAATGCAAAATTACGAACTGACTTTTGTGTGTCTGGCAAGATGTTCTTCAATTCCTTTCTTGTCTATAACGAAGGTGGAAATGCTACAAAGCCTATGGATGGTAAATAAGTGGGTCGTAAAAGCGTAGGCTGTGTTTGCCTACCTGATGATATTTTTACCCCCAGTGAGCAAATAGATACCTTGGGAAACCCAAAAAGACGTGGGCGGGGCCGGCGAGAGACGCCTGAAGTCGAATAAGTCCTGACAACCCCTCCGATGTGACAAAGTAAACATGGGCTTGACGGTCAAGTTAGATGTCAGCGGCAATGTAAATATGCTCCCAAAGCACTTAAAAAACCCACTGAAGACCAAACGCGGGAGGCGATTTTTTTAGTCCAAACGACATCCCGTATAACTGGTTTCATTATGACCTACATAACCTCTGTTGAAGTTGTAAACAGGTTTCAACATTCTTTTGTTAAACGATATCATGAATGAGTTATAAAGCCTTAAACCCACTGTAAATGACTAGAAGAAAAAGGTTTACAAGTTCGCGGCTCTTAAAATGTTTTCCAGCACTTTACTTTCGGGTTAAGCACAAACTTTCGATTAGTATGCAATTCTAAGTATTCTATGGTTGTAGCCATTAAGCCGAACTTGGCTCTACTCCACAAATGCGGAGGCTCGATCGAATTTTTGGCGTGTTCTATGAAGTGGGTCGGTCAAAAGCATGGTATTCGGTAACAGTAGCCCATTTCCTTCCTCAACTTACTTGATGACAGATTAAATAACGAGAGATAACTCATGCTCACGATTATCAAAGCATTGTACCTACCTTGGCTCCGGACGAAACCCGAATGACATCTGCGTGGCCCGCCGTCTTGTCAAAATCTTCTCTCCTCTTATTTCTGGTTGGCCGAATAAGGTGGGAGTGGGAAGGCCTGATGAACAGAACTCCCTCGACCAATTAGCATCAACCAAACATTCGTATTGCTTCTGAAGTTCCTACTCAAGCTGCTTTGTATGCAACCACAACAATCAGGCTGTAATGATTTGGTTTTCATACCTCCAGTACAAATAACGAAGTCACCCAAGTAATAGTGATGGTGTGGCAAACTAAGCGTCTTTTTTCGTTGGAGCAGTGTAGAAATACATGAGAATGAATTACATACAATGCTATCAGCGTAGCACTAACAAAGCCAAGAAATAACGCATTAAGCCAAAATCTATTCTGTGTTGGCTACAAAGGAAGGATGGGAGGTATGAGAATTTGATGAAAGTTCGGAAGGCCAAGAGCTAGTTGAACATCCAGAATGCGTAGTCTCTAATTTGCGCAATTCACGAACAATACAACTGACTACAGTGCTGAAGTACCAAGGAAAACATTTTAACAGCAGTCAGCACTTCTTTTGAGTCGTGGGACTAAGCATCAGTCCCCCCAACAACCGGTTCCTCCTGTTGTAACACAAGCACAGCTTCGCTCCAGCGATTATACTGGCCAT